GGCTAAAGGGATTGAGATCAAAGGGCTATCAGTGGTATGTACATATCATTTCTCTAGGTCAAGATAGGCTTCCTGCACCAGACCCTTCTAATCCCTTCTCCAACCAAGCCGGGCAGACCTTGAAAGCCACGCAGCCCAGGTTGAACCTGCTGCTTTGGCCTGGCTACCTTCCACACTACACACACACATTGGCCTCCACAGCCAGAGCCAAATCTCAGAAAGTGATCGAATTCAGGATTCTTGCTCGAGAAGTGATTTTCAGGTACGTTTGCCAATCAACCAGGTTTATGCTACAAATTTGCAATGTACTTAAATTTAAGTTACGTAGGAAGGTGCTGGTACTTGGTCAATCGTAACGCTTTCGTCTGTGTAAAAGTGTCTGTGTGTAAAAGCGGTTGTGTGTAAAAGCGTCTGTGTGTAAAAGGGTCTGTGTGTAAAAGCGTCTGTGTGTAAAAGCGTCTGTGTGTAAAATCGTCTGTGTGTAAAATCGTCTGTGTGTAAAAGCGTCTGTGTGTAAAAGCGCCTGTGTAAAAGCCTCTGTGTGTGAAAATGTTGTGTGTAAAAGTGTCTGTGTGTAAAAGGGTCTGTGTGTAAAAGCGTCTGTGTGTAAAAGGGTCTGTGTGTAAAAGCGCCTGTGTGTAAAAGCCTCTGTGTGTGAAAGTGTTGTGTGTAAAAGTCTCTGTGTGTAAAAGCGTCTGTGTGTAAAAGCGTCTGTGTGTAAAAGCTTCTGTGTGTAAAAGCGTCTGTGTGTAAAAGTGTCTGTGTGTAAAAGCGTCTGTGTGTAAAAGGGTCTGTGTGTAAAATCGCCTGTGTGTAAAAGCGTCTGTGTGTAAAAGCGTCTGTGTGTAAAAGCGCCTGTGTGTAAAAGCTTCTGTGTGTAAAAGCCTCTGTGTGTAAAAGCTTCTGTGTGTAAAAGCCTCTGTGTGTAAAAGCTTCTGTGTGTAAAAGGCTCTGTGTGTGAAAGTGTTGTGTGTAAAAGCGTCTGTGTGTAAAAGCGTCTGTGTGTAAAAGCGTCTGTGTGTAAAAGTGTCTGTGTGTCAAAGCGGCTGTGTGTGAAAGCGTCTGTGTGTAAAAGCGTCTGTGTGTAAAAGGGTCTGTGTGTAAAAGTCTCTGTGTGCAAAATCGTCTGTGTGTAAAAGCGTCTGTGTGTAAAAGCGTCTGTATGTAAAAGGGTCTGTGTGTAAAGCGTCTGTGTGTAAAAGGGTCTGTGTGTAAAGCGTCTGTGTGTAAAAGTTTTTGTGTGTAAAAGCTTCTGCGTGTAAAAGCTTCTGAGTGTAAAAGCCTCTGTGTGTAAAAGCGTCTGTGTGTAAAAGCGTCTGAATGTAAAAGCGTCTGTGTGTAAAAGCGTCTGTGTGTAAAGCGTCTGTGTGTAAAAGTGTTTGTGTGTAAAAGCTTCTGCGTGTAAAAGCGTCTGTGTGTAAAAGCGTCTGTGTGTGAAAGCGTCTGTGTGTAAAAGCGTCTGAATGTAAAAGCGTCTGTGTGTAAAAGCGTCTGTGTGTAAAAGCGTCTGCGTGTAAAAGTCTCTGTGTGTAAAAGCTTCTGTGTGTAAAAGCGTCTGCGTGTAAAAGTCTCTGTGTGTAAAAGCGTTTGTGTGTAAAAACGTTTGTGTGTAAAAGCGTCTGTGTGTAAAAGCGTCTGTGTGTAAAATCGTCTGTATGTAAAAGGGTCTCTGTGTAAAAGCGTCTGTGTGTAAAAGCGTTTGTGTGTAAAAGTCTCTGTCTGTAGAAGCGTCTGTGTGTAAAAGCTCCTGTGTGTAAGAGTGTTTGTGTGTAAAAGTGTTTGTGTTTAAAAGTGTTTGTGTGGAAAAGGGTTTGTATGTAAAAGCGTCTGTGTGTAAAAGCTTCTGTGTGTAAAAGTCTCTGTGTGTAAAAGTGTTTGTGTGTAAAAGTGTTTGTGTGTAAAAGCGTCTGTGTGTAAAAGCGTCTGTGTGTAAAAGCGTCTGTGTGTAAAAGTCTCTGTGTGTAAAAGCGTCTGTGTGTAAAAGCGTCTGTGTGTAAAAATATTTGTGTGTAAAAGTGTTGGTGTGTAAAAGTGTCTGTGTGTAAAAGCGTCTGTGTGTAAACGTGTTTGTGTGTAAAAGTCTCTGTGTGTATTTGCGTCTGTGTGTAAAAGCGTCTGTGTGTAAAAGCTCTGTGTGTAAAAGCGTCCGTGTGTAAAAGCCTCTGTGTGTATAATAAAAGCGTCTGTCTGTAAACAGTTCTGTGTGTAAAAGCGTCTGTCTGCAACTTTACGAAAGATACGATGCAAACTATTGTCTTGTACTTGTAATATATTGTTTTGAAACTACTCTTCTCGTCTGCCTATAATACATCTTCAACAAATTGTCTTGTAATTTAGTGTCTCCATACTAGCAACAGAAGACTTTGCTCGTCTACGCTCTCGGGCCATCCGTCGTCTAGTTTGGAGAGGCTTCTATGTGAGTAGCCTTGAGACAAACGTGGGGAAGTGTTTAATTCAAACAGCATTCAAGTTGGGATATTCAATTCAAACCTGAGACCTTGCAAGATGGGTACGAGTAACCAAAGGGATGCAAACAAATTGAAAGTTTCGATTCTTTTTGGGGTCCCCTGAAATCTTCTGAAGTGGTTTGCATACGCTGCCCGTGATAATAGCAAGAGCAGGAAAAGGTGCCAAAACTGTGCGGTCAAACACACATATGTCACAGGAATTAATTTACACTCTCAAGTGGTCAAGATATACATACATACATATATATATATATGTGCAAAGCAACAACCCATTTTCCCTGGTGTTACCAATCAAATTGCCAACAACCACTGTAGTCAAATTACTGAATTACTTTAACCTATAGATATATTCATGTATAACATAACAAACATATAGATAAATAAATGTGTATAATTGTGTATATATATAAATATATAATAAATACATCTAGTATATACATACTTACATATGACATTGAATAATTATATATATATATATGTATGTGTAAATGTATATAAATATATATTACGTACCTACTTCTATATCCAGCTAAATCCCAAGCTACCTTTACCGAGCCATGTAACGGAGCCCAGGGTGTAGGCCATATCCTGCGACATGGCGTAGCTCCCTGCGATGCTACTGAGAGCGATGAAACTCCTGGGGCTCCCGAAATGGAAGGAACATCAGTGAGTTTACCACATTATGTATGAATATATGTGGTTTGTTTCCCTGCCAAGTGAGGATCTCTAGATTTTAACAAAGGTGCAACTCCTCCTCCCCCCTTCTCCTCCTCCTGCACCTTGTTGTCCTCATCTCAGCCTTCTTTCTGCTTTGTCTTGCCGCCAGCTTGTTGTGACTGGGATGTGTATATAGCGAGCTCAGGCTGCAGTGGAGGGCGCCTGGACCCGAACTCCAAATCGCCAGCACTGGTGTGAAGCGCGCCTGGGCCCGAATTCATGACAGAGAGAATACCAGAGAGGAGGCCAGATAGAGTGCCAGATAGAATGTCATAATAGATGCCAGATAGAGTGCCAGAAAGAATGTCAGAATATATGCCAGAAAGGTATATCAGAATAGATGCCGATAGAATGTCAGAGCATTTGCCGGAAAGAATGTCAGATAGAATGTCAGAATATATGTATATAAATAGGTATATATATATATATATCTAGATCTAGATATAGATATATGCCATATATATATATCCAGATGGTATGTCATAAACAATGTCAGAATGGTGTGTCAGGGTGAGGATCACTGGAAGAGAGATGAACATAATTTGTCTTGTAGGCAGATGAATCATAAGATTACACATAATAATAATATATATATTTATATTTATATATATATATATCATTACAGTATATTTACTGTATAATATTTTATATTTTTTATAATACATATACAAGATTGAACATAGCGAAAATACTGATTCATGTTCCAAAATTGGCTCAAAATTCCCCGGGATTCTGAAATGTTGTTTCGACGATACCCTGTAAATTACAGGGTTTTTCTTCCTGAAAACTCGCCGGTTTTTTTTCCAACTCACATTGCTGCACGGTCTTTCAAGGCTCGACCTGTGACTTCCATAAGACTTTTCGCCTTGGAGTTCGTCCAACGCCACTGCCACACCCGGATGCTTCGCATCAACTTTGGGTTGACATGGCCGTTGGATCTCGTCGAGAGAGAGCATGGGATGGCAGACTTAGATAGTCGCCACATTGCGTCTACACCCCCTGTGTGAAGTGGTTGCCGATGCGTTTCTTTACACAAAACAAACCTTTTGAGTGGTTGCAAGCTTCATGGCGCCAACCAAACTTGTGACTCAACCCAGGATAGCAGGGTGCCCCATCGGTGATCAAAAGGTTTGTTTTCCGGGGGATTTTTCAAAAGAGTTAAAGCTTGACTATCTAGGATACGTGCAGCGGACTCAGGAGGCGGTTTGCCGCCACGTTTGGCGGTGGCGACTTTGATGTCCCAAAAAAGAAACTTGCCTTTGTCATCTCGGCCTTGCGGTCTTTGAAAAAGACCAAATAGTTGCCAGTAATGATTTGTGACGTAACGTTAGATGTGCATGGGACGCAAGTTAACATGAACGTTAACATCCCCACCCCCCCAACCCAGTGACGTAACGTTAGATGTGCATGGGACGCAAGTTAACATGAACGTTAACATCCCCACCCACCCCCAACCCAGTGACGTAACGTTAGATGTGCATGTGAAATATGTGTGTTTTGAAAAACGGCCAAAACGCTGGCGCGGTTTTCCCCCCGCTGGCAGACACTAGTATGAAAAAAACATATCTATACCTGGAAACTGTGCTACGTATTATACATAATATCCCTCGAGTAATGTAGTAAACCCTGGCTGCCATAAACAAGTCCCATTTGGGGATGGATTCAATCCCAATAAAAATGGTGATGGAACGGAGATGGTTAGAGTGCCACATCATCATTATTGAGTTTTGTTGGTTCATTTTGGGGGATTGATTCTTCTTAGAGTCTTTTAATATTAAATAGCCTTTTGGGGGGTGATGGTTAGTTTATACCACATCATAAAGTTGAGATGGTGATTTTACCCGATTGTATGAAGCAGCTTCGAAACCATGACATCTTTTCCTCGCCTCCTCCGACTATCTCCGGCTCCCCGCTCCTATCCAACTTTTGTAGCACGGGAACCCAGCGGCCACAGAAGGCATGCCCAAAGTGGTTCAGGACGCTGAATGGCACCGTTCCTGTCGCACGCCGAACATGAAACATACTGTGATCTAACTACAAGTACAACACATAGGAATTGATTGATGGTTAAATGATGGTTAAAGTTAAATGCATGTTTGTTTGTTTTTTCCGACTGAATGCACCGCAAATGCAGGGAGTTAAAGTGCAACCAGTTGGCATTGAACTACCCAAAGAATCGACTTTCGCTTGGAATTTGAAAAACCAACAGTTGATATTTTAGCATCACGCATTGGGGTTTAACCACCGAACATGTGGATCAAATAATGACATTGTTTTTCATTTTGGTGCTGAGTCGTTGAAACATTGCATTTGACATCATTTAACCATCAAAATCAAACAGTGGGCGCACCATCAAAACATCGGCTTGCAAGAACTACACAATATACCATGGTCAACCTTAGCACACCCGTTAAAAAAAAGATCCACTCTGCAAATGAAATCAATGAACAAAGATATGAGAAAAACACAATGAAGAACATATGTTTCTTAAGAATGCCAGGCGATTTTACATCTTCAAAACGGCAGCTCTGTAATGGACCCCGTCCTGCAAAAGACATCTGGATATAGCTGGTACGAGTTCCACTCCAGCAGTTGTGTCTCCAGGGTGTCCAAAATGCAATCAGCAACGGGCCAAACATCAGTAGTCCAGCTACCACCTGCGAAGCCAAGTTGGGATCAACGAGTAGCACTGAAACACAAAGTCTGGCTGAATGTTAATAATTCACCAAGCTGTAAGTAGCTGAAGTAAGGCCACCTGGGGATGATTCAAATTATTGCAATATCATTCCAGTGACGTCAAAGTGAGGTCATTATACTTCATCCAGAATCCAGAAACATGTTTTTGTATCCACTTATCATTATGATGGGAAGATCTAAGAGATTGCAAGTAGGTGCATATATGATTATGTACAAGGTTGTCAGTACAACCTACCAATAAATTCCAAGTTTCAGGTTGTCTCATTCCGGCAGGACGCACCTGCGCCATTGGCAGCTTGGGGTTCTTCCAGTAGGGCGCAGAGCCCCATTTTCCGCCATGCACTCCCAGGCCCTCACCCACCACCATGGCGCTGCGCTGCAACCGAGTGGGGCTTCAAGGTCAAGGGAAGTGTTGAGAGAGGAAGCTCTTGGAACCCTTCAAATTCCCAGGAAAATCGTGATCTCCATCCAATGAGAACACCGCAAAAACTTGATTCCAATAACAGAATTCATGCCGCACTCGTCTTGAAGTAATCAGATTGAACACTGGGCCTGGTTTGATGATTGCTTGCTCGTTTGCAGTATGTTTGCTTGAGCCTGATGGACACATCAAAAATCATCACCCTTATACTTAATGTCAACCCCGGATTAATGAACCAGGGGTTTATTAATTAGGGGGGTATTCCCCTAAGAGTGATAATCTGATACTTAAATGGTACCCCCCCAATTAAACAGCCTAGGGTTTTATGAATCCAGGGTTGACATTAATTGACATGCTTGCACTGTCTGGACTGATCTTCAATAAAACACAGTTCCAAACACGAGAACTACAAAACATGTGAGACAGGTGCTAACCTACAACACACCTCCCCCAAACTCCAGGGGAGTTTACCATGGAGTCGCAAAAACCTGTCAGCTGCGTTCCATGAAACATCCAAGGTGGTTTCCCCATAAATGGGGGTAACCGGGTAACCCCATTTATGGTTGGTTCTCATGGAAAATCCCAACCAATAATTGATGAATGGAGGTAGCCCCATGACTCAGGAAACCGTCCCATAGTGGATCCACAGGGCTTCTTGGATATCAAAAATAGTACTATAGTTTTTTTTTCAGAACACACAAAAACATGTTTGAGACTTGCAGAATGGATTATTAAGTTCATGAAAGATATTCCTATCTATTGTTTATTACTACGTATCTATATTATCTATGGTTGTGTTATTTTAAGGGCCTCCACCCCAGCGGAGCACCTGCAAACTTTGAAGCACTCGCACTGATACCTGCCGCGAATTCTCCGGTTCGAGTTGCTAGTTGGGGGATGGTAAGATTCCATGAGAATCTAAGCGAATGTTCATAGCAAATAATATGTATATAGCTATATATATATATGTATTGTAAACACATAATTATATATATAACATGATGAGTATCGATTGATTCTGAATGATTTTCGAATGATTCTGGATCAAACAGGAAATCATGCCATGCGCCCAAGAAAATTGGAGCAATCCCACAGAGTCCAAAGCGGAAGCTTTCAGGTTCCCTTGCTGCTGCTCTGGCTGAAATATACCAACTAGACGCCACTTAAGTGGTGCTGGAAAAAAGAAAACAAACATGTGTTCATAATATCTGGAAAAACAACCCATGATCTGCCAAATGTCAAGTTTGGGCATTGTTCAAAACTTACTAGCAGTTTGATGCTTCAATCAAGTGGTCCCAAGTGCTTTTGCATATGAATTCTACTATACGGACTACCACCAACACTGGTCCGTTGTCACAACGTCCAGCCATGGTGAACGATGCCATGCCAACCTGATCATGAAAGAAACAGTGCCGCGTGGTATTCTACTATTGCAGTAGAAAACCCTAACGTAATGCAGATTCATTCTCATGGTTTTGGTGACGAGACTTCTTTCCAATGGTTGCTCAGGCCACTAATGATTTTTGGACGGGCGCCTCAACCCCCAGCGATTCATGTTCAGGAATTTTCCCTCAACCCCCAATTTTCTTGCATCAAAAACTCTTGGTGAATCCACCACTTTCCAATGGTTCAACTTGATTCAACCACCATGGATTTTCCAGGTGAAACTCGAGTCATCCACCGGTTTTTCCCTGGGTTTTCAGCATTTCTGGTGCTCAAAATGGCCTAGGCTCCAGCGGTACGCTACCGCACCTTCGCTGGAAGCTGCTCCTGCGCCAGGCGTCTCAACAGGGGATCGGTGCAACGCAACAAGACCTGCGCTGGTGCAGAGAACTTGATGAATTCGAGGGGATAGAAACTACAGTCAAAACAATCATATATATATATATAGAGTTGCGGGTATATATTGGCGGTAAACCAGGCGCCGGGTTGTATATGTATAGTTAACAAGGGATATATAACATACACATATTATATATATATATATGAATGTATTTATTTATTTACATATATATACATATGTATATATATATATATCGAGATAGATAGATAGATAGATAGATAGATAGATAGATAGATAGATAGATAGATAGATAGATACATATATATATATATATATCGTTAATAAGGGACAAATATAACATGGAACGTGATCAAAACACAAATTAAAACCATCCCAAACAGTTTGACAGCAAATGGGTGGTATAGATCATCAAAACATTGGGTGGTTTATCATTGTTTTAATCACATTTTATGTATACTGTATATATATATATATATAGTACTAGGGGATATAACATATATATATATATATTATAGTTATAACTATATCTAAATATAACTAACATAGGGGGTATGAAATGATATGACTATAGCTAACGAGCTTGTAAACCAACATGGGTTGAACATGGGGAATGCGTGGGGTTGCTTAGAGGAATATAACTCAACCACAGGGCATATATATATATATATATGGCCGGGGTTAACCAACAAAACTGGGGTAAGCCTCCAAGTATAATCTTGGAAAATCTTGGAGGAAACAAAAATGATGGTTCACTGAAAACAGCTTGGATTACTGAATATTATTTACTTAGAAAATACAGAAAATCTTGGAAAATTTTGGAATCATAGCTGAATGATTTACTGTAAACAAATGTCTCTAGATGGTTTTCAAAAGGATGATCTTTGGAGGATATTCACAAACAAAGCAGCACCTATTGAACATAAATCAAATTGGTACCATTGAACAAAAACATCAAACATCCAATGAAATCAAACATCCGATGAAATCTAATGTTGGTACTAACAAACATCATCATACCGAGCACTAAAGCACAAAAAGCATCAACCATGATTTGTAAAAAAACAACACTAATATAAAACATCTTCAAACATCAGCAAACGTCACAGAATTTGCACAACTCCCTGACTGCTCCACCAGTGGCCTCCGTGAGGGATTCCGCAGACAGATCCTGGAGATTTTTATTTCGATGATTTACCTTTTGAAAGTTGATATTTTCCATAGCTATGTGAAATTACCAGATGGTACATACGTTATATCCGATATACCTTCTGTTTCTACCCCCAAACATGGCATTTGGGATCCAAATATGTTTTCCCATACCCAAGTCACAATTCCGAGGAATGCTTGGAGAGGGAAGCGTCAAGCTGCTATGTTCTTCTACCGTGACCGTTGGCCACTAAGATTGGGTAAAGTTTTTGAACATTCTGGATTGAATACTTCTAAATTGAATGCACAAATGCAAATCATGTAGCCTAATGATCATTTCGAACCGGAAAAATGTGAAAAGTATAGATTAAATATGTACATGTTCATGCCCTATGGATCCAGGTACTTCCTGAGGAGAGACTTAACCATCTTAACCTCCCAAATCATAGGCCAAACGCTCAAAGAAGGTACACAGTGGATCCATAGGAATGACAAATCCCAATCATATAATGGTTGTTATCATGTTATTATATCCCATAGATAATATTATCATGGTTATCCCAGAATAGATGATTATGATAGATCCCATGAGGTAATATTGTGATTATAACCATGTTATTTTAATATTATAGATGATTATCCCGTATTATTATCATATTGTATCCCATGATACATATCACATGTATAGGAACCCAGCTCCTGGCTCGCTTGGCTTCTGCGGCCATAGATCTTGGCCAAGACCTCAACTTTGGCCAAAGCCAGGTATTTTTGATGAAAAAAATGGGGACAATCCATTGATTATCCTAATATGGTATTACAATCCAATTATTTTAGTCCTAATATTATCTATTGTATTACATATATGGGATTTTTGTATAGGAATATATGGGAAAATCATGCTTGTCCTGGATGAGGATTGGGTGTGGCCCTAGTTGGAATCATATAAAATTACCCACAAATGGTTGCCGGGATGGTTTGGATTATCATTGGGTCTACCACATTGGTTGATTCACAAATCCAATACTTATGGCAAACCTTAGACATACATGTATGTATGTATGTATGTATGTATGTATATACAAATATATATATATATATATATATTTATTACCCCTGGTTGGTTGGTTTTAAAGCACGATATCTGTCACATTCCGCCATAAAAAACAAAAAACAAGTGCAAGCTATCATACCCTTTTTCCCATACCAATCTCTGTTTTCTTCCGTCACCGTTGCACTGCTTGGTGCCGTCAACCCACCCCAAAACATACAGTGCAATTGGGACCGTCGGCTAGAAAATAGAGAGAGCATATTGAAATTCTCTGACAACAATGTTTGTTGGTTTATACCTCTATGTTTGTTGGTTTATCAAATTAAAATACACAATGTTCAACTCCCATGCTGGTTGGTTTCTCCCGTTGTCTTCGTTTCAATCCTCAATGAGGAGGCAACCACTTCACACATCTTCACAATTTACATCCATGTAGCCTCCGGTCGTCAAGGCTGGAAAATAAAAACATAATATACTTATCATCACGTCTAGAAGTGCATATATATGTATATATATATATAGTTGATCAAAGACAGTAGTGAATTTCCTAGCCAGCCATGTATCATTACCGCGGGGTACTTGGAATCCCAGTGGCATGGCCCCTGGGCAGCCTGGGCCCCTCCGTGTGAGTCCCTTTTTGTGTACCACAAAAAAAACCATGATCCATAGCTATAGCCATGTAGTGTCTACACGAATTATAACATGTGATGCTTGTTGATTTATGGTATACCAAATCACTATTTTTCTTTTCATGACCATCAACCCCAGTAAATCTACTCACAGTTAAACCAATTTTGCTAAAGTACATGTGTTGGTTTTCGGGTCTGACAATTATCACATGATACCTCATGATATCATAATGTAACCCTATCATATATTATATATACATCACTATATAGAGTATATCCTTTTGTGAAATATGTCATATTATCCATATTCTACTAGTGCATCAGGCAATATTATTCATGACATGTTTAAATACTACGACAAATCATAAACCCCATTAACTGTTTCGTTATATCTATCATAGACCCAACAGTTATTGAAGTTATATTTGCCAACTTCGCCATCATAGATGAACCAGAAATCCGCTTTGCTGGTCAAATCATGTTAAATCCCCAGTTTTGAATGATAGACCTCTACATATCTCTACCATAAACCGACCAACATCGCCAACTCAAGGGGATTTTTTGAGCAAACCAAACATCAACGAAAAAAAACAATCCAAAAATAGAGAAGGCATTCCAAAAAAAAACATTCCAAGAAAAACCATTCAAAAAAACAATTCTCATCTTCAACCCATCCATCTGACCTTCCACCTGGTCCCGTCCGCTGCGGCGCACCTTAAACGTGGCCACCACCGCCAGCGCCGGCATCTCCGGCGCCTCGGCGCGAGCGCCCAGGCGTCGGAGCAGCTCCATCTCCGCCGCAGGCTGTAAGGCGGCCGCCGCCGCCTGGGCGGCCAAGGGATGTGTTATATGGATAATAAATGGTGATTAAATGGTGATTAATGGTTAATTTATGATTAATGATGATTCATATGGAGGTTTCCTAAAATAGGGGGTACCCCAAGATGGAAGGTTTATTTCATGGAAAATCCCAATCTATATATGGATGATAACTGGGGATAGCTCTATGACTTAGGAAACCCCCATATCATGGGAAGAATTCGTAAATCCCACCACGGGATAAATATCATTCTTCCTGTCCCATGAATATGTCACAATATACTTGGTGAACTATGGTTAGATTGTTTTATCATGGGATAAATAGATATAAATAGTAACTGCTATAATGGTATGATACGTGGGTAACTAACTAGTTGATCCCCGTCTGTACTCCAACGTGGGGTACAGTCCTAGAAAAAAATTGGTCTAAAATTATGACCCCTAACCTTTGAGAGAGGTTTTAGAGCTTTAAATTCCTGGCTCCTAACCTCTGAAGCCGAAATCTCACTTCCAACCACCTTTTTGAATTTTATTTGCTAATTTCCTGGTACCCAACGTCCAACATCCAATAAATTTACCCCTCTGATATCCAAGTAAAAAAAATATTTCCTGGATGCTTGCGTTGGTAACATCCCATATCTTCCCCCCCTCAATCTGATACGGAAAAAAATGAATTCCTGGCACCTGACTTCCCGGCTGACAGCTCGCAGTTTTTCAGAGTCCATGGCTTCACGAGTGCGGTCCGGCAGATGCCCACGGCAATGCGCAACCCTTTTGCATGGACAAATGTATCTTTCATGATTGATTTCCTGATGCCTTACATACACAGACTGATAGATCAACCCCCCCTCAATCACAACAGGCAGAAATTGATTTCCTGTCACTGTACGTCAGGAAGCTTTCAGGAAAAAAAATCTGGGCCTTTTTTGGTATGATATTTTATTCCTGGCCCCATACCATGCCCCGGGACCCTCACACACTGTCTGCTAGATTTTTGGAAAATAGTGTTTTTTAAAAAGCGTACTGAACCCCCAGGAAAAAAAACTGGTAGTACAGAGGAGGGTCTAGTTGCATACAATACAAATTTGTCACATAAAACATATGGCATTGATATCGTGGGTATAGTTTGCAAAACATCGAATTTAACAATAACATGGGTATATATTCCATGAACATCAATAGAGTGATTTTGGGTTTCAGTTGTATAAGAGGAACATATTGTAGCAATTAATCATTCTGGTGATATGGGTATGGGTCAAGAACAAGCTACCAATGGGATTCGATTACATAGGAACTGTTGGATTTCAGCCTGAAAAATATGCAGATATAGTTGCTAGAATTGATAGATGCTGGTTGGATGATGTCTATATTAGGAGCCACTTACCTGGATATCCCAAATTTTCTGGTTGATAAACTCTATATTTCCCTCTAAATGACAATAAATGTCAAATCCCACTGCTTTGGGCAAAACCGTATTTTCCCAAACTAAAGTTCCCATTGCTTTGCTTCACCATCTTAATTTTGTTGGGCAAATTCTTTATCTTAGAATCCCCTTAGTTGTTGGCTTCACCATTTCAGCTAATCACTTAAATTCCCAACAGGTCTTGCCAAACACAAGCTGCTGATGAAGTCACCATTTCAGCAAACGGTTGAATGAAAAGATGGTATATCATCAATTTCATAGGTATATCATCAATTTCATGAGTATATCATCAATTTCATAGGCATATCATATCAAATCACCATTTCTCTCGATGATTTTCACATCTTTTTCCTCCCTGTTGTGCACTGGATCCAGCCTCTGAGCCTTCCAGCCTCAACAGCAGTGCCGGCAACAGCGCCAGGCTGGACTCGGAGATCTTCGTCGCCAGGACGTCGCACCACAGCGCAACGCAGCGGTGACGTGGGAAGCCCAAAATGGCCAGCAGAATGTCATCCGCCGGGTATCCTGGGCTGGGGACCTGGGGGACCTGAGGGACCTGGGGGACCTGACAAAGCCTCAGGATTTTCTCAGAAACTCTGTCTATAAAATCACTCCTCTCTCTCTCTCAATCTCTCTCTCTCTCTTGCTATTTAATTCTGTATATTATATATATAATGCCAACACCGGATTAATAACCCCCCCCTAGAAGGTAGGGGGGTACCTTCTGGCGAGTTTTCTTGACTACCCGTAAATAAACGGCGCTGAACCATAAAATTATGAACCATAAAACTTTGGATATGGCTTACGTCAATTAGATCTTAATAGAATTCCATTGGATTTGTTAAAATTTCATGGATCAGAAAGGTGGTTGATTAATCAGGGGCAAACCATGGTTATTATTAATGGGGGACATGGGCTCATGGGGGGTACCAAACTGATGTTTTTTATGAAGATTTTAATTAGAAATCGATCATTTGGGGAATAGGTGTTTTTGAAATTTTCAATGATCAACTTAAACCTGAAGTATAACAATGATGATAAAAAAAAGGTAAAAAACAATTGGAAATAAAAAATGTTGGATAAAAAAATGGATTTCAGCACTGGTGGTTGATTAATCGGGCGTAGGCCCACCGGTTTTTTAATCTGAGGGGACCACCTGTTTTTAAATTACATTTTTTTTTGGGCAATGGTGGTTGATTAATCGGGAGGGGATTATTAATCCTCACTTGAGATTAATATATAATAATATATAATCAATTATAATTGTAATATTGTAAAATATTGTAAATGGTGATAAAATGAGACAAATGAATATACATGGAGTCTTTGCTGGCAAGGTTCGATTGCCAAAGGGTAAGGAATGCATATTGTCAATATCTGCTGCACACATCATATGTATGTAATTATATATAAATATACATGATATACTTCTGTTGTTTATGGATCTTCATCACTCCAGAAATACAGAATATCAAAGATCATACTACTTGTATATGAAAAGTAAAATGATGTAACATGTACAGTATACTGTATACGTACTATATAGCAACACAATATAATATGTTTCAACAAAAATAGGAAATGTCTCTGAAACCACCCAGTGTCTCTTGGCATCTGCCGCTGACCACCACTGGGGGTGCTCGGCAATCGCGTGGGAGAGGGCCTCCATCAACCTGCAGCCATGGAAATCACAGGAATCTGCCATATTTTCTCGTAAGAAAGGGACCATGGCATGGTTTCATGTATGTTTTTTGTTTGTCACAGCAGATTGCTTGCGGTGGCAACTGTTGGATGCAAAGATGAATCAAATGCTCAAAGGTCAATGCGCATTGCAAATCGGACAAAGCAGCTGCTATTTTGCGATGCAAATATGGCTCCGTGGCCGTCTTGACGAATGGAACGGATGGGAACGAAAATGGATTGTGCCAAAACAAATGCGAAGTCAGGATCAAAATCTGTACACTGCTCAAATGGAAAATGATGCTGCCATGACATGCTATTGCATTCCAAAAACATGTAACGAGACCGTGTTTTTCACTGGTCTTTGTTTCGTGGCTGCATCATGAATTCGGCTTTGGTTTCCTGTCTTCTCTCAGCTGAACCACAGGCAGATTGCACCACATGCGCAGACCATCTTGCAGTTTCACGTCATGTTTCGTCAAACCATCTGCAACCATGAGGGTCGTAGGGACCCAGTGGATCTGCGATGGTGCCAACACCTGCTGAACGCTTCGCACGTTCATCGTGGCACGCTTCTCACTGAGCACAGGATTCTCGGCTATCAGCACGTCGTAGAGCGACTTGGCATCGGTCACGTGCAGTGCTGACATTCTCATTTCGCCCATTTTGGCCTGCTTCGGGAACAGCAGCTCCGTAAGGAACATGTTCAGGAAGCAGGAACGATCCGTCCCTTCATCAGCCGCGCAAGCTTCCGCAGCAAGAGTGCTGCGACAGATTCTTGGGCTTCTTCCGCTCTTCCAGTCAAGTGGAAAACCATAACAAGTCTTCTCAGTGACTTGAGCGGGGCAAAGAACGATCATCACTCCAAACTGGGATGAAAACCTTGCTGCATTTGCCCATCCAGAGTCTGCGAACGTGACAATGACCGAAGACTTTCCAAGAGGCACCGCAGGGAAGGTCAAGCCGGAGTCGGCAGTCATCTTGGCATACTTTAAGGCCTCGTGGAGCTTTTTAAGGTCATTGATGTCAGTCTCGTGGCCGCGGTGTGCAAGCGAGGCAGTGGAAGACACGTCAGGTCGTGTCTGTCCTCCAATCCACTGTAGGCAGCCGCACACACTTCTCATCTCTTGCCATTCTGAAGGAGTCAGTTCAGGACTCTGCTGCAGACGGCCGACTTTGATCTTTCCTTCGGTGAGGTTGTCAAGGAACTTCTTCTGTGTGACCTTGTAGACGAACTTGCCATCCTGCTTGACAAGTTGAATTTCCTTGCCACGGTATTCACCGGGGGTCTGCTCATCAACTTTGGTCACGCTACCCCACTCAAACATCTCTTCAAGGGTGTGCAAAGGAAAGGTCTGTGAGTATGTGGCCATAAAGTCGTCCACGTGGACTATCAAGATGGCATCCAGCTGCTGGTTCTCATCAAGGTGGTAGAAGAGGCATCTGTCAAATGAGTGTTGATGGAAACCGGCAGCCAGCAATGTGTCTCGTACTTTGTTGTACCAAACACGTGGTGCGTTGGCCAAACCGTAGCAGTTTCCAATCACTTCATACAGTCTTGCCGGAAACGCTGAGGCAGCTTGAATCAATGGATCTTGGGGCGGTTCCATATAGATTGGACCGCTTCGCTCGGTTCCATCTTGTCTTCCTTGGAGGAATGCTTGTGCTGCACATCACTCAGCCATAGGAACCATTGTTTCTCGCTGCCATCAAAGAGAGAGTTGCGTCCAGCCGCTGCTATTGACAGTATCACATATTCAGCCAGCCGCGTTGGAGTTGGTGAGTCTCGTGTCAATTGTCGAAGGTCTGGGTCTCCGCATCCAATGATCACGGCCCTGCACTTGGCTTTCAGCGCAGCAAGTCCACCAAGACCTCGCGACTTGTCGCGGTAGGCTGCACGGGATTTCATAATCCGCTTCCGCTTGGCTGGGTCTGCAAAGATGGTGTCAGCCTCTTCGTCTGTCAGAGGACGGATTCCCGTCCATTTCATCCAGCCAGCATATTCTTTTGCTGCAGCTTCAATGTACTTCTCTTTGACGGCGGCCGGCATCTGGACAATCTCCCTCCATGGGATCTCACGGTCCAATTGTTTGAGCTCCTGACGAGAGAGATGACGGTTGTCGGACAGGCTCAAATCCTCGTCATCGTCTGAGACGTCCCAATCTGGGCGTTCTGGCTCAGATAATCCTCGGAGCTCATGTTTTCGCTTGGAGCTGTTGAGATAGGCTTGATAAGCCCACTGGTTGTGGTAGTATGGGTTGCTCAAGTTTGGACTTCCGTCCCAGTGGGGGCACTTCATCGATGCCGTGTCGTCGTCGTAGAGGTCGAGAAGTTGTTGGATATTTGTTGTCATACTGACATGGTGTGTCAGCAGATTTGTCTGTGCTGCTGTTGCTGGTGTGTTTGCCATCTGGACGTCTCCAGATATGTTGTCACCCAGAGCGGGTGTTTGTTCAAGACCTGCTGGTCTTTGTTCTGGCTGTGACCCGGTTGCTGGGTCGGTGATTGCTGGTGTTTCTGGCGCTGTTGTGCCAGTCCGCCGGTTTGGTGTTCGGCTTCTGCCTCTTGTTCGTGGTGTAGGTGGTAATGCTCCAAATGTTGGTTGTGGCCCATACTGTTGGTATGTTGGTGAATCGACATTGACGGTGATTTGTCGCTGGTCGAAGTTGTATGTGTTTGTTTGCTGTTGTTGCTGTAATATGTTCTGATGAGCTTGTTGGTGTATGTTCAATTGTTGTGGTTGTGATGATTGAACTGGAACTTGTTGTGGTAATGTTGCCATGTTATATGGTTGGTCTGATGCTTCAGGCATCGGAACTCCTGGAAAAGGGACCTCAGCAGATGGCTCTGGTTCCCAAAACTGGTCATCGCCAAGCATGGCGTTTTCTTCTGCTTGCAATGGTCGAGGTTCTTGAGTTCGTCTGGCTTTGGTAGGATGGAACTGAAAGAGCTCCTCATCGACGTTCATCATGTCGTCTTCGTTGGGACCTTCTGCAGCAGTTTCATCCAGCCAGAGTCCCGCAGCGAAGTTGTTCTCAGCCTCACGGATCAGCTTCAGATCACTATCTGAAGGGGTCCATGCCTCCCAACCGGAAGCTGGCCTCAGCTGCGTAGTACCAACTCGCAGAGAAGTCTTGCCAAGCTGAATCCAGCAGCTCTTGCGATCAGGATCGTAGGCGAGGAAGCGAGCAAGGTTCCAAGAGCCTTTCTTGTGTTGACGACTCTTTCCGCTCATCCTCCAAAAGGCAACAGCTTGGCCTGGTTGAAGATCACTGAGGTCGTTTTGATTCCTTGTTTTTCGCAAGAGTGCTCGTCTCACCGCTTGAGATGCTGAGAACTGAGCCAATGCTGTCAGAGCTTCAGCTCGCAGGAGTTCTGGTTGTAGTGCTTGTTGTTCAGGGTGCACCTGTGGGCTGATGGTCAGTGATTTGCTGTCACTAATCAAGTCGCCGACAGGTCGTGGTATACGTCCAAAAACTGCTTGATAGGGACTCCTGCCGTAGGTGTATGTTGATGAGTTCATTGAGAAAAGGACAGCCACTAGGATCTCTTCAAGGTGCTTCCGATCACAGGTGGCGTTCTGATCAATCAGTCTTTCGGCAAGTGTCCTCATCAAAGCATTGCGCTTGCCAATCTTGCCAAGTCGCCATGCCTCTTCGGTGGGTATGATGTCATACTCAATGCCGAGGTTCTGGTGCCAGGCCTGGTTGCTGCTCAAGAAGGCAGTATCGGCATCCAAAGTAATGGAAATGGGCAATCCCAGAGGCTTGTACCAGATCTCGATCATAGCCGCCAAAACTTCATCGGCATGGCGGCTGTTCAGCACCTTGGCAGCGTGGAAATTGGTTGACGTACATACAATGCCAAGAACTGGCACTGCTTCACCTGTCAAAATTCGAATGAAAATGATGTCGGCTTGGAGATGGTCGCCAAAAGCACCTGAGTATTTGGTTGCTGATGCTGTTGACGATGGGTTTGGCTTCACGGTCTTTGAGAGGCGGATGCATGAACCACATCTGAGGGCATCTAAGGCACCCATGATCCGAGAGTCCAATTTGCCTGCTGCTGCAAGGATCCGGATGATCTCCTGTTTGGAAGCGTGGCCAAGGTTGCAGTGCAGTCGGGCAATTGAGGTCTTCATCTCTCGGGACATCGGTGGGCCGCCTTCAAAGTAGATGTCTGTGGTCACACCAGTCACCCTCTCATACTTTTCAGACTTCTCATCCGCAGGGGCCTCCTTGGTGTCAGTCTTGAAGTGCTCATCTTCGCCAACACCAAAGAAGAAAATGCCCACTCGAATGGGATCAGCGAACCTTTGCCGTGGATAAGGAACTGAAGCCATGTCTTCGTGCTCAATCATGAACTTGCCGGCAATGGTTCGCATCGCACATCCACGATGAGTGAATGGGATGTCCATGGGCCATCTTCTTGCTGAAGGTGTCCAAGCCGCTTGAACTCGAGACATCTCCCAGGGGACCAACTGCTTGATCTTTTTCATCAGCTCGTCAGAATCAGAAATTTCAAACGGACGCTTGTAGGTGTTTTGGAAGCGTCTTTCGACTTCGTCCAGGATGTCTTGCCAAGCGTCTTCATCTTCCACTGGCTTGGCATAATAGACTTGGTGCTTTTCAGATGATCCTGGAACTCGATGGAAGCGTTGAGGATTCTTTCGAGCTGCTTCTTTCTGTAGGCCGTCAAGGATGGCACATGCCAGGCCATCACAGTATTGCCCGGACCGAGCAGTTTCTTTTCCTTCCACCTTCACGGTGTATAGCTTCTGCTCTGGTGTGAGCTTCTTGGTCAAGTTCTGGGCGATGTACTCGCTGTTGGTCACCCAGCGGTGTGGCTTCTGAATGGGGAAGCCGTCAAGGGTTTCTGCTCCATAGGCTCCCGCCTCGCAGGTGACTTCCCAGTTCTCTGGTAAGTCGCGAAGCTCTTGGACGTCATCTTCATTCCAGATGGCTGAACGCAATGGATTTTCGCCAAGATAGAAGCGCCCCTGCTGTGCTTGTTCTTTACAAAGTCTGGCTCCAAGTCGAACCAAGGGACGATCTTCGTCTCGGATGTCCTCCAGCTCGTGAGGCCGGTCGGAGTAGTTCATGTTCTGGTTGAAGATGCTCCAAGGTCCGCAAGGCCATGCCACAAGGAGTAGCAAAGGACGTAGCTTGCGAACTGCATTTACCAGCAATTTCTCGCCCTCTGAAGTCTTGAGGTCGATGTCATAGATCAAATCAAAGGGCTGGCAAGCTGAAAGTCCAAACCTTGGGGCAAGCTCAGAGACGCGTGCTGCGCCTGCAAAAACCTCAAGCAGGTCGATGACAACCACATCCGCTAGTGACTTGTCGTTGACATGGTCATGATGCGTGGGGAGACACTCATATGCCCGCATCTCCTTCTCATAGATCTTGCCCACGGACTTCAAATGGCCCGTGACCCATGTCTTGTTGCCGTTCTTCATGTTGCCGGAGACGAAGGGGAGTCGTTGACCAGGCTCCAGTCCAGATCGTCGTCCGACATCTTCTCCTCCTGGGCCAATCGACGCTGGGATCTCTTGGCTGTAGAGGACTTGGGACGCGCCGTGGCTTGGATCGTAGATTCCTTCTTGGAAAGAGCAAAAGGCGGTGGCTTCAGGCCCATCATACTGGCCGGGGTGAACTTGGGATCCTTGAAGGTTGATGCCGTGGAAGAGGACGGTGAAGGCAGCGGTCGCGGCCGCCTTTGCAATGGTTCTGCCCATTGATTGCTTTCTTGGTCCCACACCCATCTTTTGCCGCACATGAGGCACTTGCTGTACCTTCCGTGCTTGTTGCCCGATCTTTGAATCTGATCGTGCTCGCATGCCGACATCGCCTTCTTCAGGAGGATGCTCTTTTCCTCCATCCACATGGGGTCTTGATGATCCAGCCATGCCCTCGGTCGAAGGCGCAGTCGAACGGCTTTGCTGATCACTGTGGCTAGGTACTTCTCTGCCGTGAACAAGGCTATGATCATGCGACGCCACGCTTGAAGCCATGCTGGAGGAAGTGCCATCAGGTCGAATTGATTGCAAATTGCTGGACTTGAGCTTGTCAGAGTCGGCCATGCAAATCATCTCAACATCTGCATGCTCATCATCTGACAAAAGACCTAGTTGATGCCAAACTTCATGAAATGACTTGGGATGAGGTGGAAAACATGTGATCTTCACTGCTAAATGGCCATTGATGACTTCAATTGGAACTTCGATGCCCCCATCCAAGCAAACCACTCCTCGTGGCAGGTCGATGACCGCATGCAGCTTGGAAAGAAGGTGGTGGCTGCCTAACAACGGAATGTCGTTGGTGGTATTGATGATGCAGGTGCCAATCAAACATGTAGTAGACAATGTGTAATCAAAAGCTACTGGCAAATAGGCATGCATGTGGCTGTACTGTGCAGGTCCATGTCCAAATTCAAACGGCTCTGCATTGGGGGTCTTCTTGGCAAACAAATCAAACTTGTCGTGGACCATGCTCTCCCACAGCTCAAACCATTTTGTGCTGCAGCATGTCCTTTGGCATGCCGTATCCAATACCAGAAACTCGGCAAACGTGTTCAAGGTGTTCGTGAACACTTGGTGGACCGAACTGATCGGCGTCTTCACCATGTATGCCGTGAAGTATGTTCCAAAAGCTTCTTTGTTGCTGGAGTTGGTCTCAACATCAGCACCTGATCTCTCATCAGAAAAAGTCACAAGACGTTTGCCGCCCCCGTGCTGCACGGTCAGAACCTTCTTGCCAGGGTTGCTCGGCTGAGCATCACCTTTCGGGGAACTGTTGCTTTTCCCTGACTTGCCGCCTTTGTTGTTGGAAGCATGAGGGCATTCGCTGTCTCCTTGCCAATGGCCTTTTGCGCCACAGGCTGCGCAATGGGACTCTTGCTTCCTCTGTGCGATCGTCTTGGAACCACCGCTGAACTTTCTACCCAGGGTGAGGCCCTTGAGCCTTCTTGCCGTCACCGTCAGGCAACGAGCCACCTCCTCAAGGTCGTCAGCGGGGTCGCCTTCTTCGGCATCCTCTGTCTGGCCATCTTCATTCTCATTGGTCTCATCATTTGTTGCTACTGTATCGCCCAAGTCATCTGTGGGTCCTTCAGCATCACCCTGGTCATCAGGGAGTTCTTCAGCCTCATTCACTTCTGTCACATAGGTAGTATGCCTATTTGCTGATGGTGAACCCTTTCCAACGCCCTTGCCCTTGTCCTTGCCATGAAAGTGACTGCCATTCTTGCCTCCTAGCTGTCGAGGTGGCTGGCGAGGTTGTGCACCATTCGCATCGTTCTTCGCGCCATCAAACTCACGAAGGTACTGCACAGGTGGAGTCGGTCTATGGTCTGGAAACTGAACCTGGGCAGCCTCACGAATCATCTCAAAGTCGAGAGACTGACCTGATGCGACCAAAATCAATCGCTGTTGTTCCAGGCCAAGACGCATGCGCTCAAGAAGTCGAGAACCACGGCTCTCGGAGTCGTACATGCCGCCCACATTGATGTCGACGGACTTCAGGCTTCTCTCAATCCTGCCATAGCGGTTGCAGAAAGATCTGATGGACTCATTGGCATACCTTTGGACGTACTCATACTCATGCAAGTAGCGACGCTTGAGATAGATGCTCTTGGTCATGAGGGGTTGCTTCAAAGCTTCGATGATGTTGTCAATCCCATTAGCATGGTTGATCTGAGCGATGTCACACCACTCCAGCTCTTCCTCGGCCTCGCCCTTCAGCGACACATAGAGCATCATCGCCGCCTCGTTCGGTGGTAGGTATGATGCTATCTGGATGCGCCACACCTCAAGCTCCTGGCCCACTTCTGAAATGCCCTCAGATCATCTCGGCCGTAAGTCCAAAGGGGTGGACTCGGGGGTGTTCCCCCTCGGTATTTGACGCCCGGACTGGGGCCCTTCTGAATGGTCCAGTCCTTGTCCTTGTCATGCTTGTCTGCAACAGCCTGATTCAAGCCGCGTAGCATGTCATCTCGCCATGCATTGGAGGTGTTTGAACTCGCCTTCGGTGCAGTCTGAGGCAAAGAAGTCAAAAGCGTCTTTGGGTTCGGTGATGTAGCACTATTCAACTGGGCTCTTTCTTCAGCAGCACGACGATGAGCTTTTCTCTGATGGCGGCTCAAAGGTCTCAAGGTGTCGGGATCTACCGTTGGGTCCTGAGTCATCGCCTCAGATTCCGCTCTCTCGCCAACGCTGCTTGGTGCTCCTGGATCGTCAGGCTTCCTTTCCATGGAGTGTCTGTCATGGTCAGCAGCATCATGCGGCACAAAAATCCATGTGCCACCAGAGTCATTGCTATCCCCATAATGACACGCATCATAGAACTTCTCACACCCACATCGGCTACACCGCCATCCGGCAGCCATCCAATTCCAGTTGGTGTTCTTGCATTCCACACACGTCCAAATTGGGCTGCTTCGGGGTCCAGTGTCAGCAGAATCGAAAGGAGTTGAATGAGTTAAGCTCGGAACTTCATGTCTCACTGTCGTTGCTGTCGCCATCAGGTGGAGGAGGAACATGGTACGCCCTGCCAGGATTCATCAGTGATGCATTGTCGTGGGACGACCATTCAAACTGAGATTCCTCTGACATCGTCTCCATGGTAGGGAGCAAACAGCTCCGCTGCCAACACAGCAGATTGCTTGCGGTGGCAACTGTTGGATGCAAAGATGAATCAAATGCTCAAAGGTCAATGCGCATTGCAAATCGGACAAAGCAGCTGCTATTTTGCGATGCAAATATGGCTCCGCGGCCGTCTTGACGAATGGAACGGATGGGAACGAAAATGGATTGTGCCAAAACAAATGCGAAGTCAGGATCAAAATCTGTACACTGCTCAAATGGAAAATGATGCTGCCATGACATGCTATTGCATTCCAAAAACATGTAACGAGACCGTGTTTTTCAGTTTGAAACCTGCACTCAACTTCCTACCTGCAACTTCAGTCTCAAGTTTCGAACAAACAATAATATATATAAATATAAATATAAAAAACAAAACACATCATCAGTAAGTTCTGAGCCTCATGCAAGGCCATTGAAATCGACACATCAGCATTCAAACACTAAGGGTCTATGGTCCGAGCACATCTTTTTGTCCAGGTGAAGCTGCCCCGTTTTTCAGACCATCCAGATACGGCTATGACCACTTTGGATCTCCCCTTTTTGAGCTCTCCCCAAAAGAATGTGGTCCCCAAAATGCCAAGAATTGTTACTTCCAGGTTTGAACTAGTTTCAACACTTTTCGACATCGGATCCCACCTGTTGCCATCCTCCAAGGCTTCCGCATCTCTGGCGGCTTTCTCCACGAGTTGCCGTGTGGCCTCATTCCACGCAGCATCGCGGTGCGCAACGAGGGAAGCGAGGGCCAACCTAGGCGCCGTGGCCGTTTAGAAGCTATAAGACTCACTGAAAAGATGGAAAGGGTGAGATTTAGTATATACTATTCCAGGAGTATTTTACTCTTCAAGGTTTTTCGGTGTTGTACTTTAGCTTGGTGAAGCAGTCAAAAGTGTGAAGCCACCTACTGAGTTCAGAGAAACATGGGGAGTTCACCACTAAACAATGAAAGTCAATTTGAGCCTCAGCACTTTTGCGATTTTGCTGACATGATCAACACTAAATCTGTTAAATTTACATGTATACATTGTGGATTACAACATATTATGTCAGTGAAGCGTGAAAAACATGAACATATATAACATATTGCCTGAAATGGCGTCTTTGAGACCGTGGAATTCGTGAAATGTAAAAAAAATCGTTGGTAGACTATATTGGTGCATCACCACATCTAGTTTGTCTGAAGATTTTGGAGATAGATCTTACAACAAATGTTCAACTCCGACCGCTGAAATCGGGCAATGGAACGATCCAGTCACCTGTTTCACTAAAACATGTTTGGATGATTCCCCTTACTTACTAATGATGATTTGTGATGACAAAAACGTGAACCATGTGGGAAAATGCGTGGTTCCAGTACTAAAATGGGCCGGTCAAAATGTTCGCTCGGTTACTATTTTCCTTTAGATATATAGTGAGCCACACTCAAAAATATAAAAATAAAACAGTAGAATCCTGTTCCACAAGAGTAGTTGTAAATCAAACCTTTTCATATCTTCCCAGGGGTTATGCTATTACTATAACCCCACCATTCACCAGTCACCAGTCGCCCCAGAAACTGACAACTGGCCGTGAATGTCGACGCCGGTGTGCGCAAGGTCAATAACGCCACCAAGCCACTGATGTGTTTCCTGAGCGTGGGAGGATGGCCCGTCTGGGCATCCTAGGACTTCTAAGTGGTGAAATGTTATGATTAGTGATGTTATCATAAGTTTGACAGCAACAGAAGTACATAGTAAATGTGAGTGTATATATATATATATATATACGTAAATATGATGTGTAGTTGGATATGTGAGGCCATGTGTATTCGTTTCTTTTTCACGGCATAGATTTGACAAACAAGCATTGACAGAAAAGAATCAATACTAACCAACCATGATAAGCTTTGATAAATATGTGATGGTTCTATGTACTTAGAGCTTCCAAGTAGCCAAAATAATTTGTGAATGTCCCAACATGATTGCCATACTACCCCATTTCAAGTACTTGGAGGGTCTAGCTAGATAGATAGATAGATAGATGGATAGATGGATAGAAAGGAACATCAATTGATAGATAGATAGATAGTTAGATAGACAGACAGATAGATAGATACACATGTATACATAGAAATACAGTATAATCGAGAAGATACATCATGTATGATGTCTACTTTCCGCTTGCGATTCCTTGCCTGCGCATGCACATGGCCTCTGTTTTTTCTCAATCCCTAAGGCATATATGGCCCATAAGGGTCTGTCCGAAACCCTGGCTGCCATGAACAACTCCCATGACTGGGAACGGTTTTTTTAACGCATCCATCAAAATGGTGATGACTTGGGGATGGTTTATGGCATTAGGTTTCCCACATTACCATATTTTTCATACAAGCCAACCTCATCCATTCTTGGGTCAGTTGCCTATGTGTGTAGCCGCACTCCGCACAATGTCAACGCAGTTCCTCCCAGCCCACCTGTGAAGGAGATGCTGCGTCATAACTACTTTGGGTCTCGCATCCCAAGCATTCTATTGTGGCAATAGTCGTGTTTCAAAGAAACCATCTCCGGCCGGAAATAATCACCATACCCAGCAAGTTCTGGCCAGTTCTGGCCAGTTATATATATACTGTGTATATATATATATATGTACATAGATATATACTGTATTTATATATATGTCATGATAAGCCCGTTAGACCTGTTACAGTTACAGTAGTTGGGCTATTACTGTACCAAGTTCTCCCGAGTCTCAAGGCTGCAAAGGCCTCGGCCGCCCTCACGATCTGCACATCATCCAGTGACCTGGCTCCAACGGCAATCCCATCACCCATATGAAACACCCCTGGCTTGTATGGTCCCCACTTTTTATGATGGTTTCCTTTTATATAGTGGTGTTTTTTGGATGGGGGAAGGGATTATGGGTGGTTTCACCACCAGTTTTAAGGGATTTTAAGGGTGTTCGGTGTTTAGGAATTGTTTAGGTATATCATGGTAATCACGACTTCTATAATAAGAAAATCATCAGAGCTTAACGGCCAATATTCTGTATATATATATAGCTACTTCTGTCGAATTACCGGAAGGTACTTGTGTATACTTTTGTCACTCTTGAAACATCTGCATGTTCTCCCAACTTGGGAGTTTACCAGCAGTTTTAAATGGCAACCAGACACTGACAGATTTTTACGTGTTTCAACATTGGCGGAGAAAGCACCTTCTTGGAACAGCCAGCAACTCCTTTCGGGATTGGAACTGTTTCGCAAAATGCCGAAACATGTTAAAATAACCGTGATTGATATCCAAAACTATCACAGCTTTATTGTTTCCCCTCCAAAAAAAACATGGATTGGGGAAGCAAATCATAAATTCAGCAGAAATACCCCACATCGAAACATAAATCGACAGAAGCTCTGGGAATTACTATGGAACTATGAACTGTATATATATATATATTAATATTCCATTATATTCCATGATATCCTATAACTTATGGAACTATCTCCAAACACAAAGAACGCCAAAAACGGTTACCCCCCACCTGGCATCATGCTTCGGATCCATGGCTTGAGGCAACGGCACCAAGGCCCTGCGCAAACAGGGCACCATGAAGTGGTCCTCGTTCTCCGCGGCGGCATAGGCTTCCAGCAGCGCCAGCAACTCGTCCTGGCGGAGCGGCGACGGTTGGAGAGGAGCGTTGAGGGATGCCATGGTTTTGGGGATTTTAAGCAGGAAACATGGTGTAAACATGGGGATGTGATGGAACTATATGATATCATGTATATATATATATATATCATTATTATGATTATTACTATTATATATATATGTATATGTATATATATATATATGTATATGTATATTGTGAATCCACATCATTGCAGTACCTCACAGAGAGCCTTGCAATTCATGTCCTCAACCTGCCAGGTGTTTTTCACGTTCAACAAAACCTCATGGGATACCGTTAGCACTTGAGGCTCAGGGAAGCCAAGGAGTGGATAGAGGGCGGGATTCATAAGTGCTGTGGAGCCATAACAGTCTACTTGGTTTGGGCGAGGACGTCCATTGAGCCTGGGGCTCACGCTTGTCGATTGGGGCATCACCGCCCGTTGTTGCAATCCCTTTTCTGCTCTGTTTTGGAAAACCTTGCAGCCAAGACTTGGTGGCGGATCCAAAAAGAGAGAAGAGCGCGGAGTTCAGGTGGGAAGATCTTGCTGGAAGCTACCAGGTGGTTCGGTCTAAGACCAACTACACTGGTAGCGGAGCTACCGTTACAACAAGACGGAAAATCCAGGGGAAGTCGAAGAACCTGCTGCTCGATCGCAGCCCATGTCGGAGTCATCAGAAGGGACTACCAATGTCCCGAACCAACTGGCTATCCTTGTGCCGTCATATGACCCTAGCAAGGATGACTTACAGGTGTACTCCCAAAAGGTGATGTTGCTTCTTGAGGCCTGGCCTACGGGAAAATACACAGAACTAGCTACTCGCCTGATTCTGAACAGCAGTGGATCAGCTTTCAAGAAGTTGCAATTACACCAGACCGAGGTGACTCAGAATGACCGAAAATCAATTCTGAAAATCCTAGAGCTGTTGGGAAGCCACTGGGGTCAGATTGACCTTGAGCAACGCTATGAGTATGCCGAGAGGGCGTTGTACAGGTGCCAACAAAAATCCGATGAAAGCGCAGACAGTTTTCTGGCGCGAGCTGACATCATGTGGACAGAACTGAATAGCCGTAAGTTTCAACTCAGTGATCTGCAAGCCTATGTCACTCTTCGTGGATCGACGTTATCCGCGGAGGACAAAAAGCGAGTTCTTTTGGATGCGGATGCAGCCAACAAGGGATCTCTGACCGTTGACAAGGTGAGCTCAGCTATTAGAATGCTGGGCGCTGGTTTCTTCCATGAGATGACAGCAGGACGTAGGACAACAAAGTTGAAAACCTATGATCAGTCGGCTTTGATGGCTGAGGATATGGACGAGGTCGAACCTGACCAACCGACCTTGTCGATGGAAACCATGGACGAGGATGATGATCAAGTGGTTGCCGCCCTTGCCCAGGAGGGAGATGAAGATGCGTCACTTGTGGCCGATTTTGAGGCCGCCGCAAGTGAGTTGCTTCAGAATGATGATGAGCTGGCAGCAGCCTACACGGCGTATCATGACGCCAGTCGCCGTCTCAATGACAAAGTCCGCAACCGTGGATTCTGGCCCATTGGTCAAAAGGGCCGGGGAAAAGGGTTCCAAAAGGGGGTCAAAGGAAAATTCACCAAGGGACACCAGTCCTCCAGAAAGTCACTGCAGCAGAGAATCTTAGAGTCACGATGCCGTTTGTGTGGAAAGGTTGGGCATTGGAAAGCCGAGTGCCCGAGTCGTGGTGATCCAAGTGCTTCAGCCAATCGAGGGTCTCAAGCCCCCACATCATTTGTGCAAGTTGCCTCCATGGATACTGCCAACCATGATGGACTGCCTTTGGAATTCCTGGACCTGCCAATTCATGATGGAACTACGTTGGATGACTGATGAGCCAAAACCTGATTGGCGACTCCGATTGCAGCAGAGAGCCCATCCGCCTGTGCATACCATCACTCCTGAGATGCCTGAGTTGGATTCCGTATGTTTTGCCTCGCATGGTAGCTTTGGGATTGTTGATCTTGGGGCCACTAAGACGGTCATAGGGAGTAACTTAGTTTCAGGATTGTTAGAACACTTGCAGCCGAGCATCCGTAGCCAGATCACCAGGTGTCCTTGTCATGTCACGTTTCGTTTTGGCAATCATGGCACATTGCAAAGCACACAAGCCATTGTGATTCCCATACATGGCCTGCTTTTGAAAATTGCAGTGGTCCCCGGATCCACTCCCTTGCTGCTGTCGAACACCCTGCTGAGAACGTTAGGAGCCACGATTGACACTGAATCGCAGATGTTGCATTCGAAAAGGCTCAATCAAAGTTTTTCCCTGACATTGACCAGCAAGGGTTTGTTTCTCCTCGATTTAAATGATCTAGCCCAACAACAACCGGGCCAGACACAATTCTTCGGAGCCGAAACACATCCGACCATTGATGTACCGAATCCGGACCAGAGCAGACAAGCCAAAATGATGCCGAATGCCCCAGGGAAGTCAGAACACGACCAGCTCATGTTCCAAGGTCGAGGTCAACATAATCTTCCACCACAGTGTGACATGAGCATGCATGATTTGGTAACTCTAAGCACAGATAGGCCCAAGACCCTGCCTGCGAGTTTTCGTGTGATCCCCAAAGACCGCCATGTCCAACCTCAGTCAGCGACTTCAGAAGGTGCAGATCCCATTCCTGGAGAGCCAGCCGGATCTCTCACACCTCTCCCTGCAGGACTTGATGGAGAAGAAGATCAGCTTCGGCAAGGCACACCATGGAAAGACATTCGAAGAAGTCTGGCAGAACGAACAGACATGGGTGAGTTGGTTCGTCAACCGATTTGCCAACTCCACCAAGGCCGAGCATGTGATTTTTCTGAAGTTCGTGGAACTGAAAGTGGAACGTGCCGAGATCACCGGAGCAGCTGTGCCCTTGACCAGCCTAAAGGAGGTCGAGAAGATCCTTCATGTGAGCCAGACCCCGATGGCCTCCATGAGCAAGGGGCCAATCCCCAAAGCCAAGGCCAAGCCCATGGCGAGGAATCAGATGGAAGCCACCGTGTGGGATCTGGAAGAGGAAGATCCGGAGCTCTTCGAGGTGGTCCACGAGGATATGCCGTCGGAGAACCTCAACCAGATCCAGAACCTGGAGAACCGCATGCAGGGAGTCGAAAGTGCTCTGGCCAGCATTCTCCATCATTTGGAGAGCATGAGTGTCGCAACCGCGATTCCACAGTGAGTGCAGCCGAATGCCCAAGTGTTCAAGCCATGATCACTGCTGGCGACCACAGTGCTGACTGTTTCCAAGCCACAACCATGCCTGAATCACCAGAAACTCACCATGAACGAGTCAAACTCCAACAACTCATCCGTCAATATACTCATGAACTTGATAACATTGAAACGACCACATCCAGTCACCATACACGTTTAGATGTTTTGGAGGTTTTCTGTGGACCGAGAAGCCAGCTGACCCAACAGTCTCAGCAACTGGGACTCAGGGCCGATCGTTTTGGTTTTGAACAAGGGGACTTGCAAACAAGCCAGGGCCGGCAACTTCTCTTTCAGCGTTTGTGTCAGAGTAAACCCAAGAATGTCTGGTTCAGCCCAACATGTGGGCCCTGGAGTGGATTCGCCTGCCTGAATGGAAGCAAGTCTCTGGAGGCCTGGGACGAATTACAGCGTCTGCGCCTGAGTAGCCTTGAACAGATTGCCCTGGGAATTGCCATCCTCCGTTTTCAACGTAAACATGGTAATCACTTTCACTGGGAACAACCGAAGGGGTCATTGATGTTCAAGCTGCCATATTTGCAAGAAGTGCTGTACTATTTGCTTGCCGTGGATATCGATCTGTGTGTGGCCGGGGAGTTAAAAGACCCAGTGAACGGTAAACTCATCAAGAAAAGCCTTACAATTTTGTCCACTTCACAAAATCTTGTTAACATGTTGACTGGCTTGCGATGTGACCACAAACATGAGCACCAAGTGATTGAGGGACAGGTGAACTACCAAGGTCAGACGATCAACAGGTCCACTTTTACTGAAAATTATCCTCGCAAATTTGCCAGACGACTGGCCAAGTGCTTTGGAAAATTTCAGTATCCAAAGGAGACCCCATATCGGAATGACATGTGGGCAATACTAGCCACTGAAGATCACCCAGAGGCACCAGCCTCAAAACGTCCACGACGGGAGAGATATACCTCCTTGAAGCTCAGCCGAGCGTGCGAGGTGTCCCGACTGCCATGGGGAAAGCGGAGAAAACTAGCTGGTAAAACCACACCCATAGATGCGAAACAACAGTGGGAAGTAATCTTCAATAAGTTAGGTCAGATAGTTCCTCGGGTAGGCAAGTGCGTCATCCAAGACGCGGAAATAACTAATCTGGTCCAAAGCTTAATTGGGGACAAACAGTTGGAAACCCTGGTAGCCTGCCGGGGAGCCAGCCGCACTATGGCACCACCCGATCACATCACCAAAGGGGTTGCCCCTCTTCGTAGATGTATCTTTACCGAAAGAGGGAGTGGGGAAATCAGGGCTGAAGATGAATGGGAGAACTGGGAAGGGTTAGCCAAAAGAAACCTCATACGACCGTCTCATGCAACAAGAATGAGCCTGACCATGTTTGCCAGAAATGTGTCGGTGGGTCAGCCAGAAGAAACCCATGACAGCTCATCAGTACCGGCCGATGTCACCAATGGACCGAATTTTTCAAAGAATAATTCAGAACCAGTTCCCGAGGTTGAGAAACTCGAAGAAGGTTCCCAACCGAGTGCAGCCGAAATTGATCCGTCAGCTGAGTCCACACGACTCACTAGTTCCCAGCGTGCTGATTGTGCCAGTTCGCAGCAAGGAGCCAAGTTCCGAGCATTGCCCAGAGATGAACAGATTGCGCTCATTCGCGCCCACAAGAACTTGGGACACCCTAGCCCCGAAAGATTAAGCACCATTTTGCGCGCCCAAGGGTACCGATCGGATGTGGCCCAAGCTGCACTGGAGCTGAAATGTTCCATTTGCCAGGCAAACACCTCTCCAAAGTTGGCTCGACCGAGTCACTTGAAGGAAGAGCTGGACTTCAATGACAGAGTTGCCATGGACGGTTTGGAATGGACGAACAAACAAGGGAAAAGCTTTCATGTATACCATATGGTAGATTGGTCCACCAACTTTCATGTAGCCAGGATAGCACCAGATCGTTCAACGACCGCAGTAATTCAAAATGTGGTTGACATGTGGATGTCATGGGCAGGTGCACCTTGTGAACTTCTTGTTGATGCCGCCACTGAATTGAATTCAGAACAGTTCAGCAATTTTGTTCAGGGTCATAACATTCGGTTAACCACCATTAGTCCAGAAGCCCAATTTCAAAATGGTCGAGCCGAGCGACATGGAGCCATTCTCAAGACCATGTTAACCAAGTATGAAAGTGAGCAGGACATCAACAACTACCACGAGCTATCTCAAGCACTGTTCTGGTGTACCCAAGCAAAGAATGCCAGCAGCCTCAAGAGAGGATATGCCCCGGAGGTCCTGGTGCTAGGCAAGCACACCCGCTTGCCTGGAGCAGTCTGCAGCGATGAACTCCTGCCAGCTCACCTGTTAGCTGAATCGGAGAGCGCGCAAGGAGTAGCCTTCAGGCGACAATTAGCATGCCGTGAGACTGCCAGAAGGGCGTTCATCCATGCTGATAATGATGCTGCCTTGCGCCGCGCCATGTTGCGGAGATCCAGACCTGGCCAAACACCATACTCACCAGGGGAATGGGTAATGTGTTGGCGTCAAGGAAAAGGTGCACAAGAAGGGTTCTGGGCCGGTCCAATGAAAGTAGTCATCCATGAAAACGCACAAACGATTTGGACCACTCAGGCCAGTCGACTATATCGATGTGCCCCAGAGCATGTTCGCCCTGTATCCGCACATGAAGCACGAGGAATTCCAATACCCAACAAAGAACCATCAGTATCCATTATTGCACAACAACTTCCAAGCGTACAATCCCAAGGAATCACCAGAGCCATCGAGATATCACCATCCATAACTCCCATTGAACCTGTGATCCCCGTAAATAATCCCGAGAATGAAAATCAATCTGAAGCTCAACCTGATGGAGAACCAGAGGCATCCACACACCGGTCACAGCCATCCACTTCCAGCCATGTACCACTTGAAATTTCCAATAACCCTGAACTGACCAATGATAACCCCATGAATAATTCTCCCGAAGAACTAGATCCGGCCATCACCACACCAGTACCACCTGATGATGATGATGACCTCTACTGTGAGGGATACCATTGCATAGACCTCGATGTTCCCACAGACCCGCAAACATCCGAGCATGACCTGGCCTGGAAATGTGAAGTACATGTCACTGACTCCGATATCATGGCATGGCAAGACGAATCGGATCCGGCTGAAATGGCTTTTGTAGCTTCAGCAGCAAAGCGCCAGCGAGCCGAAGTCCGTCTGTCCGAGCTTACTGCAGCAGAAAAAGCCCAGTTCCAAAAAGCCAAGGAGAGTGAAATCCAGAATTGGGTAAATACTGGTACCATATCCCGAATCTTAAGGTCTAAGGTTCCACATGAACAGATTCTGAGATGCCGTTGGATATTAACCTGGAAACCCATAGATGAAGAACAGAAGGATCCCAAGAAGGTCAAAACCCAAACCTCAAAGGCAAAAGCCAGATTGGTGATTCTAGGGTACCTAGACCCAAAGCTGGAAGAGTTGCCCCGAGACTCTCCAACCCTTGGCCGGAACGCAAAGATGCTGTCTTTACAGCTGATTTCATCCATGGGATGGATGCTGCGGTCTTTTGATATCAAGGCTGCATTTCTGCAAGGCAAGCCACAAGCTGGACGAACACTAGCCATTGAGCCTGTTCCCGAGCTCATACAAGCCCTCCAGTTATCCACAAACGAAGTTTGCAAGTTGGAAAAGGGTGCTTACGGTTTAGTAGATGCTCCATACCTGTGGTTTATGGCCATCACTGAAGAACTCAGAAACCTCGGATTTATTCAAAGTCCCTTTGATCCATGCCAATTTATCCTCCGTCACGAGAGAACCAACAAATTGTCAGGGGTAATTGGACTTCATGTAGATGACGGCATATGCGGGGGGGATGAATTTTTCGAAGCAAAACTTGCCCTTTTGGAAAAGAAGTATCCATTTGGTTCGAAAAAGATGAAACAATTCACGTTTACTGGGATTGAAATGAATCAGTTACCCGATCACACCATAACGATGAAACAGACCAAATACGTGAATGCCATTGAACCAATTCGAATATCTCTTGATCGCAAAGGACAAGGTGAAAGCCCAGTCACAGAGGAAGAACGACAAAAACTCCGAGCCTTAATTGGTAGTCTCCAGTATGCCGCGGTTCACACAAGACCCGATCTGTCAAGTCGTTTAAGCCAGTTACAATCAGCCATCAATAAAGCCACAGTACAAACACTCAGTTTTGCCAATCAAACACTTCATGAAGCAAAGAAACACAGTGAAACCACCATCAAAATTCAACCCATTCACGTCGATGACTTTCGATTCCTCGCCTTTTCCGATGCATCCTTCGCCTCGAAGGGAACACCAAATGCACATACTGGTTGCATAATCATGGGAACCCATAAGATGATTGCGCAGAATGTTTCCTGCCCTGTAAGTCCTATAGCCTGGGGTTGCAAGAAGATCCAACGTGTGGTCACCAGCACGCTTGCAGCGGAAACAGTATCACTCAGCTCAGTTTTGGATCATTTGTCATGGCTACGTTTATGCTGGGGTTGGATGCTTGATCCATCGGTGAAATGGAAACAGCCTAGTAATGCCCTTTTGAAACTGCCAGAGACATTTTCTACCGCTACGTATAGAGCACAAAACTTGCCTGAGAGTGTTGCAGCAACTGATTGCAAGAGTTTGTATGATTTGGTAACCAGAACGGCAGCACCGAACTGTGCCGAGTATCGTACCCAGCTGAATGCCAGGGCAATCAAAGATTTCGTGTCGGAAGGAGTGCAACTGAGATGGGTCCACAGCGGAGCCCAGCTCGCTGACAGCCTGACGAAGGTCATGGAAAGTTCATTCCTCCGAACCACTCTTCACCATGGTCACTACAAGTTACATGACGAGCTGGAAATTTTGAAGAATCGAGCCTCTTCTCGAAACAGGATCAAATGGTTGAAAGACACATGCACGACTCCTTTGACCGAACATGGCTGCAATGATGAGTGTTTATTAGCAATAAATAATGGATTTTTGGGAGTGTGAATCCACATCATTGCAGTATCTCATAGAGAGCCTTGCAATTCATGTCCTCAACCTGCCAGGTGTTTTTCACGTTCAACAAAACCTCATGGGATACCATTAGCACTTGAGGCTCAGGGAAGCCAAGGAGTGGATAGAGGGCGGGATTCATAAGTGCTGTGGAGCCATAACAGTCTACTTGGTTTGGGCGAGGACGTCCATTGAGCCTGGGGCTCACGCTTGTCGATTGGGGCATCACCGCCCGTTGTTGCAATCCCTTTTCTGCTCTGTTTTGGAAAACCTTGCAGCCAAGACTTGGTGGCGGATCCAAAAAGAGAGAAGAGCGCGGAGTTCAGGTGGGAAGATCTTGCTGGAAGCTACCAGGTGGTTCGGTCTAAGACCAACTACAGTATATATATATATATGTATATATATATACATGCAACATCAAAATGATTTGGGAGTTGTTCTCAAAAAATGGATTGAATCAAGGTGGGCCCCCCACACAATAGGTATTCACAACCTGATTCATTATGGAAACATCTATTGTTAATTGGGTCTTGAAACCAATGAACATAACTTGGGGGCACCACCATGTATGGCTTTGCCGACACGCGGTGTATCACTAAAATGCAATGGTTTATCATCATGTGTCTGATTGAAACAAACATCCTGAGTGCTTGGGTGGGGTGCAGTTCATTTTCGGACAGGACCTGTTGTTTCTTCCACTTTTGTGGAAATATGTCTGGGATATGATAGGTTGAAGGCAACAAAGAGTTGTTTAAACTACATATTTGTTCCAAACAACAACACATTCACATTTTTCATTGCTAAGTATGCTTAAATATGTTTACATGAAACATATTTGATGGCTAAAGTTCCATGTTTGCTGGGTCAAATCCGCATGTTTCATGTCAACTCCACATGGCTTTGATCCCTTAGATCCCTTAGATCCCTTAGATCCTGACTGTTTTCTATGTTTCCATAGATTTCCCCTGAGATTTGACCTCTTTTTCCCAGGGTCCCCATGGATCCATGGCACCTTTTTCCACTTGGCCAACCTCTCAGGCACCAGCTGCGCAGCCATCCCCAGCAGCCGCGGCTCCACGAGGCCCAGGCGATCGATGGCCTGCAGCAGACGGGTGGCGTCCTGCGGCCGCAGCAGGCGCAGCTCACGCGCCAAGCGGCCGGTGACTTGGAGGAGGAAGGTCTCTCCTGGGGGATGGGATGGGGGATGGGGGATGGATGGGGGAGGGGGGCTAGGGGATGGGGGGGCCAAGGGGACGGGGAGGGGGGCCAGGGGATGGGGGCCAGGGGATGGGGGGGGGGGCCAGGGGATGGGGGGAGGGGGGCTAGGGGATGGGGAGGGGATGGGGATAGGGGATGGGGGATTTGTTGGCAGTTATGGCCATGAAAGAGTTCTGGGATGGTATTCTAACTCCTATAGAACTAGTATACATCCTGAAATAAGCCAGTTATAACTGTTAACGGCGATAACTGTGGGGATGGGGATGGAGGGGATGAACATGTGAATTGGAATGGTTGTGAGAGTTGTTCGTAATTACCCTCTGGTAAACAAACAAAAAGCTATTGAAAATTGCAAATTTATAGTGGGTTTTACCATTAAAAAATGGTGATTTTCCATAGTTCTGTTAGTTTACCAGAGGGTATATCATGGGGATGGGATTGGGATTAAGCTGGTACCGGAAGGGGAAATAAACCAACAAACCAAGCGCTTGGGGATGATTCAGCTGCGATGGTCATGATGATTGAGGCATGGATGGGATGAGAATGAATCTGAAACCGGGAAAAACATGGAAAAACCCTGGTTTCTGTTGGCTTTGGGAATTCTGGTCACGGATTTTGGGAATATCTAAGTATCTACCCTCATTGATGGCCTGACAATCAACCATTGAAAATCCTTCAAATCCCCGAGCAAAGGTTACCCTGCACATTGCAAAACATCCATCTGTTCCCCACGTTTCGTGGACCGCGACCAGGTCTCGTTCTTGCAGAATCTCCGGATCCGACGTGTCCTTTCCTTTGGCTGCCAAGCTTTGGAAGCACAATGCAAAGGACTCCTCAGTGCTGCATCTTGATGTGGTATTTCCCGGTGATTTCCCCAAAGTTTTTTGGCAGGCGGATTGGTATAACCTGGACATGCCAAATTTCCCCAGTACAACGCTAAAATCCAAGACATGCAGAGACTGTGATGTCCCTTATTGCATAGTCTAATAGTACCTGCATGTACCTGCTGCTGGTTACGAAAAAATTACTCTACTTCGTGTGATCCCCACCATGACATGTCAGGACGTATATTTGGACATATATTTAGTATATTCTGACATCCTATCTGACATATATTCTGGCATATATTCTGGCATTCTATCTGGCATATATCCTGACATTCCACCTGGCATTCTATTTCATCTGGCATTCTATCTGACATATTTTCTGACATTTCATCTGACATATATTCTGGCATTCTACCTGTCATTTATTCTGACATATATTCTGGCATTCTATCTGACATATATTCTGGCATATATTCTGGCATTCTATCTGGCATTATATCTGACATATATTTTGGCATTCTATCTGACATATATTCTGGCATATATGTTGGCATTCTATCTGGCATTATATCTGACATATATTCTGACATTCTATCTGACATTCTATCTGGCAGTCTATCTGGCATTCTATCTGGCATTCTTTCTGGCATTCTTTCTGGCATTCTATCTGGCATTCTATCTGGCATCCTATCTGACATTCTATCTGGCATTCTATCTGGCATTCTATCTGGCATTCCTACATGAAGTCTGGCAGGGAACACTTGGCGTGGATACTCGCAGTTGAGGTCCGGCAGGGAACACTGGGCGTGGATACTCGCAGTTGAGGTCCGGCAGGGAACACTGGGCGTGGATGGTCGTGGTTGAGGTCCGGCAGGGAACACTGGGCGTGGCTGGTCGTGGTTGAGGTCCGGCAGGGAACACTGGGCGTGGTGGTCGTGGTTGAGGTCCGGCAGGGAACACTGGGCGTGGCTGGTCGTGGTTGAGGTCCGGCAGGGAACACTGGGCGTGGATGGTCGTGGTTGAGGTCCGGCAGAGAACACTGTGGATCGCGGGTCGCAGTTGGACGAGGACGACGAGGACGACGAGGACGACAAGGACGACAAGGATGACAAGGAGGACGAGGAGGACGAGGAGGAGAGGAGGAGAGGAGGAGGAGGAGGAGGACGAGGCAGGAGGCAGGAGGAGGCAACTGACATAAAATCTAACAACCCTCACCTGGCAGGTGGGGAAAAAGAACTGTCCTTCGGTAATGTGTCTAACTATGGAGACATGGTCTATGGAGTTCGATGGTTTACCTGTTAAGAATGGTGATTTTCTATAGCCATGGTAAAGTACCACGGCATATATATATATATATATATATATATGGTATTTGGGTATATATATATATGGGTATATATATATATATATGGGTATATATATATTATGGGTATATATATATATTATATGGGTATTTATATAATAATATAATATAATATAATATAATATAATAATATAATATATATATAGTGTGTATATACAGTATATAGTACAACGATGAAGGGTCCCGATATGTTTCTATTCCCCAATATGGAACTGCTGTGCATCAGGTTACCGTTGAGGAGACCTCACGTACTGCCCAATTCCATAAACCATCCCCAAGTCCACACCATTTTCATGGCTTGGATTGAAACCATCCCCATGGGAGTTGTTTATGGCAGCCAGGGTTGCCCCCGACCACGACATGTTGACCAAGACCCAGAATCCAGGACGGGAGGCAAAGAATTGGTGTGCAGAGCGCTCAAATCCGCTAAGACTTCCTTCTGAAAAGATCGGATCACGTTCACATCATCCACCCGCAGTTTTCCCATGGCCAAAGCACAGGTATGCAACTGAGGGGCCTCCAGCCTGGCTTGTGAAAAACCGTGGGCTGAAATACCTTCAGTAGCACGTGCATTTCTATATCCAGCCAATTTCCAACAAACGTATTATACAGACTTGATGGCAACATTGGCATTGGGTTTGAAGAATAACCATATAGAAATACATATCCAAGTAAGACAAACATCATAGATTCAACGCTTCCACACTTTGCCCAATGTCTGTTTCCATTAGGCAACGTGTACCTTGGGAGGATCCTCCAAACAACCAAACAACATCTGTCCTTTTCAGAACAGCTTGGATCTCAAAACTCTTGAGAACAACTTGGATCTCCAACAACTGGCATTCAGTTACTCAGTTCATCCATTGTTTTGCTGGAGAGTGTCCCTTTGTGTCCCGACAAGTGGAACCAACCAAGGTCCCAACGGTTGCCGAGCAACTCCTTGACCCTCAGAGCCAAGGTTTCCGCCAAGGCCATCGCCGAGGTCGACGGAGCCGCTGCCATCGGAGCCGTTGCGATGGGCTGCGGATAGGGCGAGGTGCTCGGCTTCGACGCCAGCGAAAGGCTGTGGAAGAGATCCAAAGAAACGTCCAAGCGACACGTCCCAGCGCCTGCGTTGGAAGTATGGACCTGTCTCTGGAGTATGGAGACCTTGGAAATTTGAAATAAGATAATGCAGATTATGTATTCATTTATTTATTTATTTATATTTATTTATTTACTTTCTATTTATTTACTACAAGCTAGAAATTGATTGGCTAACACAAGGAAAAATATCAGACTAAAGACATGTTCATGTAACCATATTCAACGTCAAGGGAAAAGAAGTCTGCACAGCAAGAAGAGGTGAAGGATCATCAAAGGTGTTGCCCCCGAATGTTTGTTGGTTTATAACCCCATGACCCTAGGGTAATCAAACATGGAATGTTTCCTACATGTGACTATATTGACCATAAAAGGGATGTTGAATATGAAGAACATGGGATGGTAGATGTATATCTACATAATAGCTACCATATATATATATATAATCTATACATCCCTACAGTAGAATGGATCCAGATACTTTGTCAGAAGGGACTTCTTCTCCAAAATCACGGCTGGATCCCAATCGAGTGTAGCTCGATGAATCAACCACTAGGACCCACGCCGCGGCACTCGGCACCGACATGGACCGACTCCATCACTACCTATGGTATAATAAATACGTAAATGGGTATAGACACGTACACTTGAATACCCTAGCCTCAGACATATATATATATATATATGTGAATATACAGATACGCATACACATACAATCATACCCATCTACATCATCTATATATATATATACATCTACATTATACATATATATATATGTTTAGGCTACCATCATGAAAACATCATTGGAATCCCTCAAGTTTTCCACAAACACGAACCGACGACAAAGGGCGCCCAACCGTAGCCACCCATGGTTCCGGGCCTGTAGATGCACAGGAATCTAGAGCACTCAGAAATCCCGTGCAGTCGAATTCCTGGGTTCACAACCGTTGGGAATTTGTACGGGAAATCATGGAAAATCCATTGGAAATCATGGGAAAATCATGGAAAATCCATGGGAAATGATGGGGATCTGTTTTCTGGTCATCTATTCTTAGATGAAATTCCACATGTGAAGAAGTATGGCATACCTTCAACCTCGCCAAGGGGACGAATTCGGTGTCTTCCCTATGCGGAAAAAATACATCTTCTGTTCATCCACCATTTTTGGCGATGAAATCCCCCATTGCCACTGGCTCAATGCATTTCTTCTTGCTTCAAACAGTTCAAAACCATTTTTTGTTCATCGTTGAAATCTACCAAATGTTGGACATGTTGGCCTTATACTAGAATATCTAGAATCAATAGTTGAATTTCCAAAACATGAAAACTTAAGTCATTAAAAACAAGACCTTGGAAACCAGCCACCAAAAAGAGAAACATGGCAGTTGAAACCCATCCCCTTCCCCAATCCCCATCTCCACGTTCTGCGAAGGTGCCAGTTCTGCGAAGGCCTTCGCGATCATCGCCAGGCCCTTGCCCTTCAAATGCCCTGCCTGCAGGGACTGCTGGGCCGCCTGTGACAGAGCTTGGAGCACCGCAACGTTTCGGACCTGCCGAGTTTCGGCCGGAAGTGACGGTGGCGGATGGGACAACATCCTCAAAAAGGCTGGGACAATGCAAGGAACAATGGGAACATTGCTGGGTCTATTGGAATTCCCATCAATTCGCCTCCTGTCATGTGAACCACTAGTCACTAGTCCTTTTGAATAGAGATTTCTTGTATTTGATTGTAGTATGATCTCCATTTTTCAGTATGGACAAAAATTAGAGGAATAAAAAAACAACATCATGGTTGCTTGTCATCCGGCTGAAAACGATTATGATTATGATACCCTCTGGTAATTTGTTACAGTTCGCTATTGAAGCCATGGCCCAGTCGAAATAGTGAGTTTTCCCATGAAAATAGCATGGTGATTTTCCAGTTCGTTATGGAGCAGTGTACCAGGCCGGGTAAATCCCATGAAAAATCCCATGAAAGATCCCATTAAACCACCAAAAAATCCCCATGAAATTCCATTTAACCACCATTAAATCCCATTAAACCACCATAAATCCCATGAAACCACCATTAAACCACCATAAATCCCATTAGATTCGTTGGATCCAACTGCCGTTCCTATCAACCAACGGGGTTTGTTTTGATGCATGCGAGCTGGGATGGTCAGGATCTTTCTGGTTCTGACCTGACGTAGGGATGGTAGATCTGCAAGCACCTAGTAACTTGAACATATTTCACAATATATATATATATATATACATACATATATTGTTGTAGGTGTATATAAATATATATATATATTATCTTGTATATACATTATATATAATATCATATATATAAATTATATATATATATATTATACAGATTGTATGTATATATATATACCCACTAAAATGATAAGACACAACCACAAAATCAGCATTTCCACCGCCGACCATTTTGTGAACATCCCCAGCTGAACATAGGATCAAACCCCAATAAATGTCCAACTGGCATGAATTGGCTAATACTTTTTTCCATGTTCCATCCCCTTATTATCATGATATCACCACGCTAATGATCAAGATTTTTTTTTACAACCAGCAATAATGCCACATACGTCTATCATAATTTACTACATATATATATATATATAACACTCAACCTGAAATCACCATTCCCCCACCATTTGTTGGATCATACTTCCAGGAAATAGACCAAAAACCAATTCAATTTATTACTGAGTTCAAGAAAAGCAAGATTGAAATTCCATTTGGAGGTGGTCTAAAATAGGGGTACCCCCAAAATCTTCCATTTGAATAGGATTTTCCATTACCCCAATTGACAGAAATCCAGTCCCAACGGAGATGTCAAGTCCAGCAGTAAACAACAACTTGGTAGTTTAAACCTTACACATATACATGGGAGGGATTAAGGTTTAAACTAAAGTCATATATATATATATATATGTGTATGTATATATATATATGTGTATGTATATGTACATCTATATATATATATATCTATTCATATAAATATATACAATACTATATATATACTGTATATATATATATACATGTATACACCTTATATGTGTTGAATTACATCATTTTACATATGGTTCCTAAGCCATGTGAGAACACCCAAATCCAACTCATGGATGACCAGTTTACGTGATGGCGGGATGGGATGATCAAGATAAAAATCACGAGAACATCAATAGCTATAGCCTATAGTCGACATATAGATTTATATAGATTGATTACTAACCCAAGCAACCAGAATGTGAATCATATCCCAGTAATGTTTGGTTAATATCCATAGATCATAGATTCATATATATATATATTATAGCTGATTACTAACATTTACTAACCGTGGAACCATAATTTATCCATCATAATTCATCCATATTTATATATCCATGGTTTTTGACTATTAAATATTAGAAACCATAGAAACCATAGAAAAAACCATCGGAATCTTCGCCCGATGTCCCGATGTCCCGCCTTCATCCGCGCCAAGGCTTGCGCATTGCTCGCCAGGTGCGTGGCCTTCATGCTGGGCGCCAGCTTGATCAAAGGCGCCGCCAAGGCCTTCACCAAGGCGTCCTCGATCCAAAAAGGTGGATCCAACGGTGTCGGAAAAGGTCGAAAAAAAAGGTGGAAAATAGCAGGAAAAGGCGAACTATGATACACAGATATACATGAATATACATGATATACGCTGTTCATTGAGTTGAATGATGACAAATGATGAATGGGCTTCTTGAATTGCGTCGGAACATGGTTTTTGACTCACACTTCAGGTGATTTCAGTGCTCAAAATTGGAGAAACATTGGGACCATTGGCCCTGGGACCTCCCACAACATCCCAGATTTGCCACTGGCCTTGACATCGCACCCAGCCCACTATTTAGATCTTCCAAAAGGTTGTCGATGTCGAAGAGGTGAAGTATGGTTGGTAATCATGACTGACGCGCAGTTGCCAGCACACTAATCTTGTGTTCATGGCTTTAGAGGCCCTTAAAGAATGAGACTTGAGTCGTGATAATCCTCTAGCAAAAAATGGGTACCACGCATATGCACGAAGCCACAGGATATCTTGGCCCAACCCGAAGCATATCTTCAATGTTACAAGACGTCATCTCAGTTATGGATACCTGACATGTGAAAAAAAACAAAACACACATATGGCAGGCAAATGCAGGCAATCATCATGTGACCAGCTGCAAATCACCCCCTGGTTCCCGGAAAGTGAGATATCCAAATTTCCTGTTACAAGTTGGTGCCTCCTACCTTGCTTAGTTGGTTAATCAGGAGGTTAACTAGGGTTTATTGTAGATATGTCTATACTTTGATGAACTTAGAACCCAACAACTATAGTTGATTATTCATAATATATATATATATATTTGTTATTATATGGTTATATCATGCTATGATCCGATTATTTTTTGAAGGCTTATAAATCAACAAACATCGCTGGGGGCACCAAGCTATGCCAAGCATCGTCATGCCACTTGGCCGCTCCAAAGCCCCAGCAGGTTTCCGTCAGTTGCCGTGCCGTCATGGCACCCGCCAGATCCGCTACCCCCAGCGCGGCACGTGTCCAAAAAGCGTCGTTTTGCACGTCCATTTTAGACGCCACAAAGACGGAATTGGAGACTTCCCCGGGGGTCATATCCTGAGGCTTCTCAGATACCCGGCCTGGTAAACATACAAAAAACTATTGAAAATGGCAATTTACAGTGGATTTACCCATTCAAAATTGTGATTTTCCATAGTTACGTTTACCAGAGGGTATTTGCAAGGAGACACAAGGAGACCATGATACCATGCATCAAAGGGATTCGAAGGGTCGAATACAGAAAATTACGAACTTTTGACCTTCAAACACATTCAAACACTTGAGTGTGACTACAGAAAGTTTGGGAAAAAAACATGACATGGATCAACCTGAGACAACCCGGGTCCTGAAAGCTATGTTCAAAAAAACTGCCTTCAAAACGTAACCTTTTCCACGACTTTGCGCTCAAAGGCCTGTCAAGGACTGCAGGATGGATGGCGAACTCCTAGGTTTCAGGATAGTTGTGTGTTCATTCCAAAATAAATGGACTGAACATATAGCCCCTTCACAAGAATATGTGATTGCCGATTTCAAGCCATCTGAAAAGAAATCTAGTCATGGAGAATAATTATCCCAAATCCGCCCACACCGCTTTGGCGGTGAAGGCGTGCTTATTGGGGGGCAACAGCAACACTAAATGCTCAATGACATTTGTTAATATAGCAGTCGCTATATCAGCTTTAGCTGGGGGGGGGCAAAAACGGTTTCGCACCGAGACCAGAATACGGTGGTGTTTTCGACATTTTTCGAGGATTTTTGGGTGTCTGAGCGCAAGAGGGTATTGAAATGGAATTTTGGGTCATTTTGGTAGCTTTCCGGCAATGGAAAAACGGCCAAAAATGAAAAAAACATTGTACATAGCAAGATTTTGCAGGGTTTTTGGATGCCAGAGCATTGAAAACACTGCAAAAACAAGTGTTTTGGACTGACGTTATAGCAAAAAACGTGTAAATTACCGTATGCTTGACTGGAAACATTACAAAAACACTGTCAAAAACAATGTTTTGGAAGGATTTACTGCCTTTATGGCAAAAAACGTGTAAATTACCGTCTGTTTGACTGGAAACATTGGAAAAACACTGTCAAAAACAATGTTTTGGAAGGATTTCTTATATATATATATATATATATGTTGGAGTTGGCTACCGGCATTGGCACACGGAAAAATTGAAGAAAACACTGTAAATAGCGGTATTTTCACCGGTTGGGGAGATAAGGGACTTGGAAGCATTGTCGAACATGATGTTTTCGACCGGTTTTATGGCGACAAAAGTGTAAAGTACCGTGCTTTGAAGGAAACCATTGCAAAAACATGGAAACACATTCAAAGAACACGGGATTTGGGGGACTATCTAGGCGTCGTTGTCTAGCTATTTGAAATTCCGCAGCTTGGAGAGCCTCCAAGGGAGGGAAAAGTGAAAATTCCATAGGGAAGCTGTCACGGCGGGGAAAAGTGAAAATTCCCTAGCTTGGGAAGCCCCCACGGGGTAGCTTGGGGAGCCCCCACGGGGGGGAAAAGGGGAACCCCCACGGGGGGGAAAAGTGAAAATTCCCTAGCTTGGGGAGCCCCCACGGGGGGGAAAAGTGAAAATTCCCTAGCTTGGGGAGCCCCCACGGGGGGGGAAAGTGAAAATTCCCTAGCTTGCGGAGCCCCCACGGGGGGGGAAAGTGAAAATTCTTAGCTTGGGGAGCCCCCATGGGGGAAAACCACCCTTAGCCCCTGTCACGGACCGAAATAAACCTGCGGTGTGGGCGGCCACCCCACGCAAAGCGGGTTGAATATGGTTGAAAATCAACTATATGAAACCTTCAGCTAGCCCAATGACGCAACCAAGGTCTCCTATACCGACGAGAACATACTAAGGGCCCATCAATGATCCCATATTTTCTTCACCAAAACAAAAAGGCACGCCTTTCATAGTGATCATACTCGTCCAAGCGCTTGCGTCGCTTGGCAAAGAAGCGACTTTGCGACAAACGTCGCGAACAGTTTCGGGCAGTTCGACTCAAAGGTGTCCACATGGCGAAAGAACAACTCCGAGACAAGTTGCATCTCAGAATCCATGCGGGCTGTGGGCCCTTTGTGTTGGTGAATTAGCATGAATTGTTCCATCCATTCCCATTCTGAACCTTACAAATCAGCTGATTTCAGGGTTCAATGCACTACCCACAGATGTCTGGAGAACTAAATCTCAACCGGTCCTCCGGTCCTCATTTGCAGTATCTGCAATGCATCATAAAATGGCCGGTCTACCAGGGGCTCTCATACTTGGTTATAGGAACCCTTATAGAAATAGTAGAACAAACCCTATCAGGAAATTCACCAACAGCTCGTGTCAACGGATCAACGTGTTAGGCCAAGAAAACACCAAATGCTGGTGAATGCTTACTATGAAACCAAGAAACATGTTGGGGAGTGACCAACAAAAATGCCCCCCAAAAAAACCATGGAGCATCAGGGATTCTGGTGATTTTCCACATGACCACTGTATAAAAATGGTGGGTTCTGGAGTCACCAGCTCAAATAAACAAGACAATCCTCTGGGGACTGCTCAGAACTTGGTCCAGCTGGCAACAGGTCACCTAAAGTTCAGGTGACGACTGCAAGATGCCCTTGTGACATGATCCACAGCATGGTTTCAGTTCCTGAACGATCTCAACATATATACTGTTGAAACATGTTGAAACTAGTGCAAGCTACAACACCCTAAATCAAAGCTGCGGAATCTGTTCTCTATAAAACACTCGCCAGAAACCATTGTTGAGTTCGGGGATCACCGGATCACATATTTGGGACCATTGAATGGGAGCGTTCAATATGAGGGGGGCATTATCTATCCATCATGCTTATACATATATCATAATATATATATATATATCCACCTATAGTCTCTCATGTAGTATTATAATATAGAGTTGATTAGTACAACTAATATAGTATTAACATGTATTAACCATATTCTATAACATGTATTAACCATATTCTATATATGTAGATATATATATATATATAGCTGCTTACGAACCCATGAATCTCTCATG